ATCCAAAATTGAATGATATTTAATAATGAATTTATGAGTTAATAATATGCTAAATCCAACCTTAATGCATGCTATTATGAATATATAATTATAACAATAATTTATAAATATACGTAGCATGCTTGGATGTGCAAATTAATACATTATTAACCCATATATACTAAACTAGTATTTGACCCGTGCGATGTACGGGATGCTATTTAAACATTTTTAGTTGTGTGTATTTTATGTTAATATTTGTGTGATATATTGGGGAATACAGTGCCAAAACGTAGGAAAATTGTGTCTTACTAATAGTTGCAAGGTGTTGGTAATATAAAAACAATACATTACAAAATTACAAATTATTGAAAACTTCATGATATACAACATTAGTGGTTGATGTAGTAGTTGCACTTGAGTCTTTTACAATCAGTATTTTCAGACCGCCTGAATTATTAACCCGAGATGCAGCTACGTACAACTAATCGTGAACAAAAACCGGTTTCTTTAGTATTAACCCTACATGACTCAACGTTTGGCCTTGACTTTTGTTTATGGTCATCGCATATGAGAGCATCAATGGGAATTGCCTTCGTTGAAACTTGAACGGCAATCTTGGATCCGAGGGTGACATTGACATTCGGGGTATTAACACTTTTGTACCTTTGTTGGGGCCAGTGAGAAGCTCGCCTTCAATAACATGGTCTGCTAACTTTGTGATTATCAACCGAGTTCCATTGCACAACCCAAGAGAATGGTCAATATTTCTCATTAACATTACTGGTGAGCCAATTTTCAAATTCAGTGTATGATTTGGTAGACCCGACATACAAATGCTGTTTAGGAATTCCGGGGTGTGTACATCTCCAAGTATACCATTATCACCGTCGGCTTTGCATACTGCGTCTGAACTATAGTAGGACCTGCTTTCGGCATCATGCAACTCAGTCATATATTCATTAACTGCGTTGACAACGTCCAGCGTTGGTGCAAGTATAGCACGACCTATTAGATGCTCGGGGTCAGTGTTTCCAACTGCAAACATTGGAAATGTACTTTCCACAATTGCTTTAATGTCGTCCCCCCCGGATGATACTAACATGTGATTCGGTATTTGAACCTCTGCGAATCCGTCATTCCTCCCACCAAGCTTTTCGTCGCCGATATTGGCAATCCAGTTAGAAAACTCTTGTAATGCCTGCCGGTTCCCACCATTGTGTACCGAACTTAGCCTTAGGTTTTTAGTCAATCTTAAAACTTTGCAACTATCCCATAAATATGATGAATTTATAGCGGACGAAACAATGTCTTGACGTGTACCTTTTGGAATTACTGGAAGAATTTGGCGAAAATCTCCACCCAGGACCACTGTTTTCCCACCAAACGTCTTCATTTCACTGTTAGGGTCTACAAAACGCAACAAATCTCGCATGGTTCGATCTAACGCTTCAAAGAAATGTTTGTGCATCATGGGAGCTTCATCCAAAATTATCAAACTCATTTTTATCAACAATTCAGCCAAGTCGCTACCTTGTTTAATGTTACATGTAGAGTCATCATTTATTGCAATAGGTATTGCAAATCTCGAGTGAGCTGTTCGGCCACCTGGTAACAACAAAGAAGCTATGCCACTTGATGCGAAATTTAAAACGATCTGGCCTTTGCACCGGACTGAAGCGGATAACGCTCTCCATAAAAAAGTCTTTCCTGTCCCACCGTATCCATATACAAAAAATAATCCACCTTTATTGGTTGCAATATCTTGCATAACAATATAAAAAATGAGACTTTGTTCTTCTGTTAGTTTGGCACACATCAGTTCAGAATCTGCCTTCAATTGTTCCGAATTGTAATTCAGTTCTTCAAAAACCAATCGATTTTGAAACAACCTTGTATTATCAGTACTTGGTGTGGGCATCGGAGGAAAGTCTTTTAAAGACTTGTTCTGTTGCCCCAACAGGTTTTCCAATTCCAATAATCCAAAGTTCTTTTTCTCTTCCTCTGTTAAGACCAAATCTGTTACAATAGCAACATCCAAATTGTTATACTTATAACATAACAAAATTGTTGAAAATTATATTATAAAAAAAAGTTATTTTACCTTGTTGTTTTAATATTCTTCTTTGATAGTGTTGAGCATCTTCACACAGATGTTGCCAAACTTGATTCCAAACATTTTCGGGTCTAATAATTGAGGATGATGTTAGTAAAACAACAAATAGCTTCCTCAATGAATGTGCAGTTGACCAGTAGCTTGCCTCATTTATAGCATCAACGTACTCTTTATCGTCGTCTAGCAATCCATGCGCATAACACGCATCTCTAAAGGTCAAGTACTCAACACCGTTAACTGTCCTAATATCTTTGAAACTTTTTGGACCACCACGGACTATGTTCAATAGGCATCTCAAATAATATATTTCACCTGAAGCTGGAGGTACATAGAATATTCGACCAATTGAGGATCTATTGGTCTTTCTTGGATGCCATTCACGGATGTCTTTTTTCCAAACAAATTTGGTAGGCATCTCAATGTAAGTCAACAAACTCGCTTCTTTGAAATTCTGGTTGGCTAAAAACCATGCATTAAACATACTTTGACCAACGGTTTCTCTATTGAGTACATTATCAATACTATCATCGTCTTGGAAAACAACTGATTGGCAATCCGGCAAGTGGAAGCTTAATCGCTCAACCGGGGGAGTCCTATACTGGACTTCAAAACTAAACAATCTCCATGCTGCTTCGCATGCAGATACGTATCTGCAATCATAGTACATGTTTATCTCATCCACAATCTCATTACCCGCTTCATCCATCGAAGTCTTATAAAACTCAGCAGTTACACGGTCGTTGCCCTTGTTTACGTACTTGAAGAGGTACTTGATTGACCTAGATTGGTTACACCACTCTACATTAATGTGAGATTTGTATTTCAAAAGCAAGTACCGATTATGTGGTACAACATATCTATTATCCAACTCTATTCCATTCTTTTTTATTGTCCTCTTATCATCCTTTCTTCGATACAACGGGTAATCATCTTGGTCAAAATGTGATGCATCAATGTATCTTTTTGGAAAATGCTTTGAACACTTGCCATTTGCCATGCACGGGGATTTAGTCCTTGCAGCACCGCATGGGCCGTGCAGCATGAATTCTTCGACAGCTTTGTAATACTCAATGTCTGAACGCTTGTCGGGAATCTCAGCTGAAATGATCGTGTCCATAAAAGCCGGGTTGGCAAAGTCGTTGGTCGCTTGTAGGAACAGTAATATGTGGGCATGCGGAAGACCACGTTTTTGAAATTCAATTGAGTATATTACTGTCAGAAAAGCATTCATATTGTAAGATAGAAGTATTATAATAACAATAATTATTATTCTAAAAAATGACAATTATAAGCTCATGCAGTACGCACCTACCTTTACACGACCAAATAGTTTTCCATTCTTTATTTCTTTAATTAAACAGTCTAGCTTCAGTTTGAAAACACGGCAGACAATGTCGGGACGATCTTCAGCTTTCAAGTTTCTTTTCTCCAAGAATCGTTGTATCTCGGGCCATTTAAGATTACATGTAAAAGTAATTAACAGATTTGGATAACCTATGAATCTGCAAATTGCCATGGCGTCTTGATAGTTCTGTATCATGTATCTTGCTCCTCCAGTGAAACTTGATGGTAATATTATTCTTTTCCCTTGAGAGCTGGGTTGAACTTCACCGCGAGTTAACGCATCAGACAAACCTTTGTACGCCTCACATCTCAGAGCTTTTTGATTTGACCTAATATAGAGCAACCTCGAAGATTCAACCATAGTATACGCATCAACCAAGAATTGTTGGAATAACCTTCTGGCATACATTATTGTTGAGATCTCATTTGATCTTTCGTGTATACGGAACGCGAAGTACTCTCTTTGTGAAACACTCTTTCTTGAAAAATCTCGTTTTGTACCAAGTGTTGCAAAATGTATATCTTCTCGAAAACTATCCTCCCCAATGGAAATAAGATTGGGTATTGCAATGGTAAATAGGCTGGGTTTAATTCATTTATTCGTTTCAGTGCTCTAGACCTACACTCGACAACAATATCCCGTTGACCCATGTAAGGGTCTATATCTCCAACAATGAGTGCAGCAACCTCGGAAGTAGTTGGTAACGCATAAGTCCTGGCATCTTTAGTCCTCTTTCCTATTAATCTTATTCTGATTTGACTTTGAGGATTAGACTGCAGAAACGACTTGGCCATTCGGAATGACTTAACCAACACATTGTGTTCATCTAGAACTTGCTTAATGTCATGTACTACCTCACTATGCAACGCAGAACCATTGCTTTCGGCACTAAAAAAGGAAGAATAAATAATATAAGATACTCTGTATTAAGCCATGATATACCAAAAATATTGCAGTAACACAAAAGAGTATACCTCAAAGAGTTTAAGCGATTTTCTATCTCATTCTCTGTATCGTGAATGTATAATTGGGCAAATTTCGATTGAATGCCATGTGAAGGTAATAAGCTTCCAATCCGATGAAAATTTTGACCATTGATACGGAATATCGACGGCTATGTTCCGTTGTTAATAGTTCTATCTATTTTTCCACCCATCGACGTAAAGCAAAACATGCTGTTATATGAACTTATATTCTTTAAAAAATATTTGTTTTTATCGTTTGATGTAAAGAATAGCTCATACAGCTTTTGAGGAGGCTTTGTCATAAATGACAACTTTATTTTACCATTTACACAACACGCAGAGTATTTTGGACTTTCACATGACTTTGAATTGCTTGACCGTTCATTGTACCAAAAAATTGAATTACAATGCTCGCAAAGATACTCTGGATCACCAAGATCGAAATAAAAATCTAAAAAAAAAATATATTAGTTAGCATGATAATGTATTTTACTGTAGTCCAAATATAATACGTTTTTGTCCTGCCACATTTCATATGAACTCACCATTAACTGAGGGCATATTGTCATGTAACGGTTCAACAACTTCCTGAAAGTCTGGTAACAAATTGCGGTACTGCGGTATGGTTTCACTCTCTGGCTCTACCAGGCTACTTTTCATATTATTGTCATTTGTAATGCAACAATTACTTTCCATCCCTAAAAGAACAATATCCAATTGTAATTAATTTGGTTATATATTAAAGGAATAATTATAAATGTGTGACAATTAAAAACCTCTTCTTGAATATATGTTTATACCTATCTGCGACTCTGGCGATAGATTTAAGTTGAAGCAGAAACTTGGACGGTCAGCTTTAGGTGGATTGTTGCGGATCAAATTGACTTGACCGCAATTTGCTTTAATAATACATATTTTTTAATAAGATTCGTTAGAACAATAAATATTAAATTTGACTATATATATAATTACAATATATTTGTTGAAGTTCATACCATTCGATATGTTGCTAAATGGGATCCTGCTACTCAATTCTTGCGTTGGTGTAGTATTTAAGGTCATCCGTAAAGGAGAAGATACTGTGCATTTCAACAACCACGATTGTTATTAACCAATATAAAATTATAAATGGCTACAGAATTCGTAATTAGAATGTGTAGTTTGCTATAAGGAATAAATATATCGATGGAGTGGAAATTTTGATACCTAGTTGTGAATCTGGGGTTCTATTTAAGTCGATCGAATGATTGTGGCGCTTCGTAATAGGTTCTTTTTCACGGTCCCCGTCAACCCGCGCGATATTTTCTTTAATTATATAAGAGCCGTAAAAAAAACTTGTTAGATTGTTAATTATCACATCTTAAAATTTTTTTGTAGACGTTAAAAATGATTGTTTAATTTCGTACTATTGGATATGTTGCTTAATGGTATTCTGCTACCCAAATCTTGCAAAGGCGAATTCCGAATTGTCGTACGAATTGCGGTCGAAGTTGTGAATTTCATAACCAAAATATGGTTAGCAACAATTGATTAGATAATTTCACTATCATATAGAACACACTTACCATTTGTCACAATACTTAAAGGCGTACTTAACGAACTTTGGAAAACAGCACGTAGGGGTGTACGATTGTGTGTATTATTGTTGCATTCAATGGATGACATGTACGATGCATCCATGGCAGTACGATTCTCATTCTCTGTAAAGGAAAAAAACAATAATATATACCCATACATGATATGTTTGGTACCTAAATTTTTTGGATACATACGGAATGATTCTATTCCTAATTATAATTAAAGTATTAATATTAAACTAATATTAATACTTTACTATTTCACAATAATACTATTTTATTATACAAATATAATATATCTTAATATTATATAATATAATATCCTTTAAACGTGTAATGTTATAAACATTTGATGTTAACAAATCGCAATAATAACAAATTAGTATAATAATATTAATGATGAGGATTAATGTTATTCAAACAATTATAATAATTATTATAAGAAGAATAAAAATAAAAATGTTAATCATATTATTAATAATAATATTATTATTAAGATTATTAATAATATATAAGATATATTAACAATTTCTGGGTTGTTTTAACACTATTTTATAATAATAATAATGATAATAATAATAATAATAATAATAATAATAATAATAATAATAATAATAATAATAATTATTATTATTATTATTATTATTATTATTATTATTATTATTGTTATTATTATTATTATTCGACTCTTTTGGCAATCACACCGTGATGTAGGCAGCAGAGTCACTTTACTAATCTCCTAGAAGGCTCCATTGTGAGCCTACATCGCCGGTGAAGTACAGTGGTTTCTCTCACTAAAACTGCAAATGATAAAGGGTTTAAGGTTCGATTGTGAGACTCGATTAAGGTATTAATCATTTCTCGACGGTCGTTTCCTATCTCTTGGATATGGATTGACAATGAAGAAGATGGTACTGTGAAGCATTCATTCACCCAAACCTTTCAAAATTACTACCACTCTGAGTGTTCATAGTAGTGTCAAAGGAGTAAATCGGATATTTCCTAGTGTCAATCGTGGCATAGAGTTGAATCCGGTGAACCTAATGTTCGCCAGAGTGCATGCGTAGCTAGGGATCTCCCAGGTGAACAGAAATGTGTGCGATGTTATCAGGCGGTCAACCATTTTGGAGAAGCGGCTGTTCAAACACACGATGTGGACAATCACAACAAAAATTGGGTATTGATTTCTAACCCTAACTGTTCTAAGTTTTCAGATCTAAGTCTCGTTTATATACTATATTTGTAAATCTCAACTTAATATGGTAGACATGCATCTCGATTTTGGTAACTTGGAAATGTATCTAATGAGTTTTATTTTGATAGATTAATCTTGTGTTTCGATATTTTTTGTACAATCCGTTAATATTGGTTGGGATCGTTTTTAGTCTTTTTAGTAGAGTTAAAAAAAAAATTGTATAATAGTTGTATAAACTAAGACCGAATAGTATAATAAAGATAGAAGTCAATAGATTTACCTTGGTTGTTGTTGGGATAATTGCGCTTCGACCCAATTGTGGTTGAAGATGTAAGTTTCCTCATGTACTCTAGGAGAGATGAATTGCCCAGTATAGGATTTGTGTAGTTGTGGTGCTCAACGGAGGTTAATAATATCTAATTGTTGAATATATAGGTCTAAACTGGTTAATTAATATTTGGAGACAACATTGGAAAATGGCAATCCTAATTGATTTTGGAATACTAAAAGGTTTTGATCAGCTACTTAATGCAATGTGCCATCAATATATTAGCTCATTGATATTCTGACTACTTTTTTTTTCCATTGTCCAAGTGGAATTCACAACTTTGTTTGGATGCTAATAATGTTTATTATCCCTAATGTCAGGGACTTAAATTTTTATATATGTTGTTTAATATATGTTGTTTTCTAGGTAACAAACAGTTTGGTGCTCTAATGTCAGGGAGTTAAATTTTGATGCCAATAAGTTGCTTTGGGTTTCACATCAAAAGCAACTATTAACTGGATGACCCTGAGTGGAATAGAGCACAAACTTAATAGATGCTGTGATATGTTTTTAGCACATAATGGGAATTGTACTAAAGAGGTTGTTACGCTTGGGCAAAAAAGATAAGTTTTACATTTATCAAATCCTCTAATATAATGTTCTTTAGGTTGAGTATAATGTTCTTTCAGTGTTCTTACATTAGGTGATATTTATAAGATTTAATTCGGTGAATTGTAATTCTCCAATTGCAGGTCTGATATACACAATCTGTATTCAACTCTAATTCTTTCGGTAGTCTTCCTAATAACAAAGAGGCTGTCAAGACTATTGGCCAAACAGTTACTAAGCACGGCTCAAAGATAAGTTTTAATAGACTTAGAAATGCTCAATATAATGTGATTAACAACAATAATATCCTTTCATTGTTACTAAATTAGATGGTGTATATATTGAGTTATCTCTTTAATTCACTATTTGTCCACTGCAGGTAAGCTGCTACACAAACGGTCCTCTACTAACATTAATTTAGGAGGCTTCCTAATCCTAAAGTTGGTGAATTCAAGGTTTAATTCACTATTCATCACTAAGTCCATAATGAACTTTGTGAACTTAATCCATGTGTTAGAAATTGACTACGATGTGGCTTCCATTAATATTTGTAATCAATAACTTTTTGGTTAAACTGCAGGTAGGATGCTATAAAGCAAATGTTGCATAAAGGACCTGGAAGTTCAGTTCAAAGGACCTGGCAGTTCACTTAAAAGGACATGCATAAAGGACCTGGAAGTTCACTTAAAAGGACTTTGAAGTGAGTTTTAAGATGACAGAGGCTGGTAAGTGCATAATCAGGTCTAATCATGCCTACTTGGAATAAACTCTATATATTCATTATCAAAGGGTGTTGCATTATTTAGTTTTAAAACTATTTTAATTACTTTTACTTTCTAAAACTTGTAAGGGTGTTGCATAGTCAGCAAGGGTTGCAACTGTAATGTTTGAATACTACATTCAAATTTTCAAGTTAGAGTACAATATTACTTTGGATGGTTTCTATACACTATTAAAATTTGATATTCTGTTTACATTATTAGTGGAGTTAATTTTGGATGACAATGAGTTGATTTGCTGTTAGTATTTAATGTAAGGCAGTTGTTAATTATGGCACAAAATGGAGGATTTGAATTATTAGCTGATTCCATCAAAGTTAGAATAATATTTTACAATTAAAAATGACATTACACTAATCTACAATAATGTTGTGCATCTAAAAAGTAGTCCTTTGCCTGTATTACATTTCACTACAAATACAATTTGATGAACTGTTTGCTAGATGTTATCTGTATCTTCAACTTATTACTGTGCCATCAGTTTCCATATTTAGTGATATCTCTGCCATCTTCTTCATTTTTTTCTGCCATGTCAGCCATCTCTTGACCTCTTTTACCATACATGTGCATTCATTTTCCATCATTGTGCCACACTACCTGAGAAAAAAAAACTTGCAAAAGGAATATAACAAATCCAGTACCCATAACAGCTCCTAGGAACAAATTCTGAGAATTCAACAAAAAATAATGATCTACTAATACAATCCCAAATGATTGAAAGTTTCAGTCTAGCTGTTTGAGTGAGTCACCAAAATGTCACCATAAAAACCATTGTTACAAAAAAGACACCAATAGAGCACATTGTCAATCATTAAATCATTACACATCTGCTTCCTTCTCAATCTTGACCACACATTCCTTGCTTTTTTTTTAACTTTGTGTGCTTGAAAATTCATCGATTAGTGATCACTTGACTGTTCCATTCTCAACACTATTCTCTGCATTGAGTCTCTATGCAATAACTTGGAGTGGACTTTCAGCTTCATTTGCTTGGTCTGCTTCCTACAAAATCAGAAGTTCAAAATTATTAAGTGACCAATAATAATAAACTATAAACTAATTGGTAGAACATGTTACTCGGTATCCCAAGTATACCTCTAGATCCCATAGGTCCTCATCTGTAAGCTCCAACTCCAACTTTGAACTGAGATCCCTGTCCCTTACTCCTATT